CACACACACACACACACACACACACACACACACACACACACACACACACACACACACACACACACACACACACACACACACAAAAACACAAAAACACAAAAACACAAAAACACAAAAACACACACACACACACACACAAAAACACAAAAACACACACAACACACACACACACACACACACACACACACACACACACACACACACACACACACACACACACACACACACACACACACACACACACACACACACACACACACACACACACACACACACACACACACACACACACACACACACACACACACACACACACACACACACACACACACACACACACACACACACACACACACACACGCAGCCCACATATACACACAATCACAACACACACATACACATGCTTTGAGGCAAAGCACACAAACCCACACACACAAACACAAACAAACATACACAGACACACACATACACATGTTCTACACACACACACATACACGCTCACACACACACACACTCACACACTCACTCACACAGCGCACGGTGCGGTAAGGTATATATATATATATACACATACTGATATGTATTTGTGATATATATATATATAAATATTTGTATATTCAACACACGCACGCACTCTTATGTTTTACGCCCTCCAAAGCTGGTGCAGCAGGGCCTTTTCCATGGCCGTGGCATGCAACCCGGCAGTTACAAGTGGCCGACAAGTGAAGTTCTCAAAGCCGAGAGCAAAGCTTTCTTCATGTGTCCAGGTCTAGCTCGCATATGGACCGAGTGCAAGCTGTGGTTTTCTGAGGAAGAGACAAGGGGTCGCAGAATCGAATCATATGCATGCACTGCCGGAAAGCAGCAAGAAGACGCATAAATCCCTTTGCTTGGGTTTGTTGAGCTTTTGTCTCATTTTGCGCCTTGGATTTGGGGGGCTGGGGCGAACAGCGCAAAACGCTCACAAATGCTAGCCCAAAAGCAAACACCTTGCAAAAACACAAGCAGGCAAGTCCGCTCTCAGAAATCATAACTCCTTAAAAACCTGAAACACTTGAATTCCCTGGAATGCTCCGGATTTGGAGGGTCCAGGCGTCTTGTTTTCTTCTAGCAGTTTTCCAAGTGCCTCGCCCCCTGGTATGTGGCATGCTTGACATGCGAGGAAATGGTGTCATGTCAACAAAGCACAGTAAGCATGGGGTTTTGCACAGATGCATTTGAACTCACAGTGCGAATTCACAGGGGTCATATTTCGGAGAAAGTTTCTTGGCTTGTTCTGGCGCAGCATGCCCTAAAAGTATGGGGTTTGGTTGATGGGAGGGGGATCTTTTAGAGGCTGTATGCCAAAGGCTTGTCGGCCGCGTTTTCGCAGAAGCTTTGCAAAGCAGAATGTGCGGAATTCCTTTGGGCAACGCCCGCCGACACTTCTGCCGGCTTAGCTTTGGGGCGAGTGAATAGCGATGCGTGTAAAACCCCAGGATCGAATCATTTCTTCAACGAAGCGCTGCAGACATCGGCTCAATATGTTTTGCACGCATCGGCGGAATCCATCGGAATCCATCGGAATCCGAGATCGTGTCCGAGCTTTCTCTGAAAGCTCCACCTGGATGGGCCGCTTTACCGGCAGCTTTGTCGCGAGTTGTTTGGCCCAGCTGGCAACGTGCAGTTGCGGTTCCCCGCGCATTCGAGGTTTACGGAGGAGAGTCCAAAGAGGACAGCGAGTCTTTGCCAGGGAACTTGCCACCAACTCTTTCTTTGTGCCCTGACCTGTTTCTTGGCGATCTGTGAGTAAGAGGGAAGGTCCCTGCTTTTCCCCTTTTCTGGCCTCCAGACGTATGTGGCACTTTGTGAGGGGGATATTCAGTGATGCTCAGGGTCAATCGCAAAATCACGACCATTGCCTTTAATACTTTATCAGGGGTCACCGTTGTGATTCTGGGTAAAAAACATGTTTTCTGGGTGGCAAATTCCCCGAACAATTCCGGCCACTCGGAAATGCCCCTCTTCAAAAGGCCACTCTGAAATGCGCCTGTGCAGTTATGTTACTCTTGTTCAGGTCGCCATGTTAAATTGCGTGCCCCCGGTTTTGACAACGCGATGAGACGTGGATGGGCACGGTCACTGTATGTTACTCTCTGATCTTTGTATGTCGGGCATTGTCGCTTGCGGATCATGCCATGGGCCCAGGCAGATTTACTTTGGTCATGGCGGGTGACGTTTGTGTCCTTTTCACAGAAACAGTTGGCACGTCCCTAGCCTGGTTTGGATGGGCCGGTGTCATCAATCGTCAGCCGTGGTGATCTGACTTTTATGAGTAAGTTTGTTGTGTTTAGCGCTCGAGTGCAATTTGTGTCGCGTTTGCTGTTTACACCTGCCGTGGCACGTGTGTGATTTTGATATGTGATTATGCTCGCATGCCTATTTGTATACAGGTTTGCGTTTCTTTCTTGTTTGTTTGTTCGTTCGTTGGTTTGTTTGCGCCGCTGCTGCTGCTGCTGCTGCTGCTGCTGCTGCTGCTGGTGGTGGTGGTGGTGGTGGTGGTGGTGGTGGTGGTGGTGGTGGTGGTGGTGGTGGTGGTGAGTTATTGCTTGGCGCGTGGTTGAAGACTTGGTGAGCTGATGAGCTAGTTGGCTGGTACACAGGAGGCAGCGCAAATAAGCCCTTAAGCCCTTACTTAATAAGTGCTTACTTAGGGCTTGTTTGGGCTCTTTCCCTTTCCTTCCCTCTTTTGCAGGCCCTATTTTGAGCCCTTCCCTCCCCCCTTTCCCCATGGTCCTTGGACGCCCCAAGCGCAGGCCCGGCATCCCCTGGAGCCGGGGGCACCTTTGGCCTTGAGCTGGATGGCGCGGCTGTCGCCAGGCAGCCGGGGGCCCCAAGGGCCCCAGGCCGCGACCGATGCGACGCGATGCGACCCGCCCTTTTTTTCTTGGGGCCCAGCGAATCGTCAAAGGGTCCTTAGGTGTTTTGTCGCTTTTTAGTCGGTTTAGTGGATGTTGGGTGGTAGTTGTTCCCACTAAACCCGCAAGTTTTTGAAGTCCGGAAAACGGACAGCCCAGTTCTTAGCAGCCCTGGCAGCTTTCTGTCTTGCAATGATGTCCTGGTTTGGCTTCGCGCACAAGCCACTGGCCCGGCCAAGCGCTTGCCCGAAGTTGGGACTCCGTGCACTGCAGAACGGGGAAGGGCGATGTTCACCAACGGATTGCGTGGTCATGGGGGTTGCACAGGTTGAAAGAAATTGAACCTTTGGCCATGGGCCGTTGGGGGGGGGAAGGGAGAGAGATCCCAACAAGCCCAAAAAGGCCTTATCCCCTCCCCTCCCCTCCCCTCCCCCCCGACTCCCCTCCCCTCCCCTCCCCTCCCCCTCCCCTCCCTGCCATTGGCATCCTAAGCCTGGTTCCCAATGAACTGGAAGAGGCCTCCAAGCAAGAGGACCCCATGTTTTTGTTTCCTTCTTTGAGGCAGGGAACTATGGAGGAATGTCCATGGCTTCTAGCTTGCAAAGCTGATGGCAGATCGCGGCCACCTCAACTTCCAAATGAGACGATGTCAAACCCAGCCTCGCCATTCTCTTGGTGAGAGACTTGGCATCACTGCGCAGTTGCAGCAACGGAGTCATGTGTGACATCATATTTCCTAGCCGTTAGCCCAAGGAGCTTGCAGAAAAGACCTTCCTGCTTGAACCCATGTGCCACCTTTGATTTTCTGAGGGTTTTGTGCCTCACTTTCCCTGGACAACAAGAAGACACCGATCTGCAACGACAATAGCTTCCTGACACGGAACCTGTGCCTCAGGTTTGGGTGTTGAAGGCGCGTCGCCTGCCATCGCCCGACACCCAGCTCTGATGCAAGCTGCCAGAATCCAGCTTACGCCGCCCGATTGAATCAGTTAGCGCTACAGTAAGCCATGTTCCTTCTTCTTTTCCAAGGGTGGTGCTCTTGGCCACCTGCTGCGGGGAAATACTTTCCACCACGCGGGGCTTTTAAAGCTCTGCTACAATAAAATGCGTGACGAGGTGGTTAGCATAACGGCCATGCAGCCAGCCATCGGATCATGCTCGGACCAAGCTGCTCAACCTCGGCATGTGTGGGTTATATGCATGAACAGATAAATAGACAAATCAATAATATATACATATTATATATATATATATGTATATGATATATATATATATATAGAGTTGGCCACCTTTGATTTCCTTTGAGGCTCAACACCCGGTGTTACACCCAACACCTGAGGTGCCGATGTGCTACTTCTTCGCCATAGTGGTGTCAGAGCCTCAGGTCCAAACATGGCACTCCATAGGCATGGTGGCCAGGGCTGGAAGGAAGTGGGCGCAGCTTGCATCGGGGTTTGGGCATTGTTTCAGGTGCTTGCCTGAGGATACGCGCGCTTGACACTTGAACTTGGTTCCCTCTTGGCCTGGCTTGACTTTTGTAGACGGGCATGCGTTTCGCACCCCCAGCACGAAGAAGGCGCTTGGCTGACTCCAAAGCCTCAATCTTCGACCGGGCTCAGCGCGTCTGTCCAAGGTTGGACATCATGATTGCCCGGGCCCAGGGCACCGAAAATTGCGCAGCTTCCGCATCGGGGCTGTCGACCTGTCGCCCCATCGGGGCGGTCGACCCAGAAGTTCGCTCCAGTTCCGGGGGCTCGCAGGTCACCCCTCGCAGGTCAAGCGGTATGCAGGATTACTTGGGGGAACCTCGACTTGGAGTGTGGCACTGCGAGGTGTTCATGTATGCGCTGGTGCACAAGATCGATGAGAAGGCAGGCCCGGTTCCCCAGAGGCTTGCTGGCCTTTTCGATATTGAGGCGTGGCCAGTGGCATGCCGCTGGGTTGGCACGGCATGCGTGATTTGATGCCACATGCCTATCCGCGCAGCTGGCTCTGGCAGGGGAAAGGCCTCAAGACGTTGGCTTTTGTATGACCAAAGCCCGGCTCTTGTGTGCTCCAAAGGAAAAACACATTTTTTTTGCGTTCACCCAAAAGCCCCACAGGCAGGCAGGCCGGAAGCCAGAGTTGTCCTTCTTCGCCATGTATCAGCCGGCCTATCCTCGCGACCGAGCTCACTTCGGAGGCTGGGAGGTTGCGAGTGGCTTCCCCGATTCAAATGCTCTTAATAACAGAACGCTTGTGGTGTGCTCTTCTTACCTCTTAAAAACACAAAACTGTTCTCAACTTTTTGGGTAACATGGGCTATATGTCTGTAAAAGATGAACACTTCCCCAGGGCTTGGAGTTTTAAGGGGTAAGTCTTATAAGGGTATTCTGGAAGTAGTCTTGAACCGAGTGGTGTTTGAGATTCTAAATCAAGGTCATGGTCATGATGTCCAAGTGATAGATTGCCTTGATTGCCAGGTAGTTGCTTGTTTGCCTTGCCAGGGTCCCACGAAACCTTAGGCCAAGAAATGCGGCAGGCAGTTATGTCGCTCCGCGTGTTGCTTCAGTTCCGTGTGTGATCGAAGTGAGTCAAGCTGTCGAATTCTTCTAACATGCAATTTGGCCCAGGGCCGGTTAACGCCTCAGTCAACGGGGTGAGTTTCCAGAGCGCATGCTGCGCGGCCGATGGCTGGCCCATTGGCCCGTGAGAGCAGGGCGGCTTTCTACGCAAGCTGGCTGTCCGACGTGGGCGTGAACAACCCAAAAGCGCCCAAAACGAGACAGAGAAATAAATATATATATATATATATGTATGTATGTATAAATTAAAACAAAACAAAAAAAACAAGGCCGTCTTGTCTGTCACAGCTGTAAACTTATCACAAGCTCTGTGACAGTCCGTCGAAAGAGTTTGCCAGTCATTGGCTGTCGAAGTGTCTGTCGGCGCGCGGTGGGCAGGCGGCGGGCGGTGGGCGGTCGGGTGTCGCTTCACCCCAAACCTGGGGAAAAAGCAATCAAAAAGCTAAAAGAGAAACAAATGCAAAGGACAGTGGCGACCAAAAGAGCAAACGCGCAAAATGCTTCAGTCCAGCTCTTTCTGCGCGCACGCCAGCCTACCTCAGTGCCCTTGGCGGGTTCTCATGGAGTCGCGCTGTAAATGGGTTTAGGCCGTGTGAGCGAGCCAGGCGTGTCTCCCGGCTTAGCGCCCAACCTCCGAGGCGGGCCGACGGAGGCCCATGGAATAACATAACCTGACTATGGGTCCTGAACATGGGCGTCCTTTTTATGTGATTTTGGCTAGAAACAGCTGGGTTCCGCTGCTTTAGGTTGGTTTGATTCCATCGACCAGGGCAATATATTTTCCTAAAAAGGACACGTATGGGTCCTGAAAGACCAGGATTATCAGTATCAAACAGCACATGGCCATTGCACACATTCATGTGCCATATCTTCATGCACTGCGAGACTTTGAGCTGCAATCAACTTTGTTGGGCGGGGGCTAGGAGGAGCATCTTCAGTTGCGACCAGGGGTTGTTTCAAACGTGTCACAGTGTTGCCCTTATCCAGAGATCCGCGTTGGTTGCCTTTTCGGGGGAGTAGTATTTTCTATGCAGAGATGGACAAGGGATTTTGTGCATTTATTTGAAAGGTAAAATCTCGCAGCGGAATTATGCTTGTATAGTGACACCGAGTGGGAAATTTGCCCTACCCAATCAAGGATCAGCCCGACGTTGGTCACTGAACCAGAGGAATGAGTGGGTGTAATCGCAGTGGTCTTTGGGTTGGTATTGGTTGGGCCAGCTGGCACAAGCGCCATATCCGAGCTTGTTGGCCCCAAGGAGCAAACGGAGTCGCGCTCGCGCGCATCTCGCGCACCATGGGAACCAAAGCGAGAAGAATACGGTGTTTGGAACCCAAAGCGCCAAAACCAGCTTCAATGTGGAAGGCGGGCTTCAAGTGGCGCACATTGCGCGTGTCCCTGCCAAGAAGCCAAGGAAGCCAAAAGCGAGATGTGTCAGCCAGGGTATTTTGTGGGATGCGGAGCACCATGAGCCAAGCCCAGTTTGAATCAGATCCCTTCTGCGCATTGCTTTATGCCGAGTATCCTGGTGCACGCTCTCCCACTGGATTTTTGTTAGGATCAGCGCCTACCTGTTGATGCGGGCTCTTCAGTATTGATCTCGACCTTGCTCCTGACATATTTCCTTTGGAAGCCCTTTGGGGCCCCAAAGGGAGCTACCCTTCTTGCATGGATACGGTTTTCCTTTGGGCGGGCGGTTAGACTCGGTGGATTCTGCAAGGTGCACCCCACGGCTGGCGGTCGGCAGGCTTGGACCGCGCGGGCGCAGGGAGCATAGGCGTGCTTTTGAGGTAAAATTTTGGCACTGGAAATCGATGGGTTCCACTGGTTTCGGTGGGTTGGATTCCATTGACAAGGGAAACCCGCCTATGTTCCCAAAAAGGACACCTATGCCGGCAGGTTGCCTGAAGAGTGGAGGCCTTTGAAAGCCACGGCATGTCATCCAGTGTCAGGGTTGTGGGATCACTCGGGGTTTATCCAACCGCTTCTGTGATACTTTTTGGGAATCTTCTCCCTGAAATGGGGGTTTGTCTTTGGGAAAACCCTGTTGGTTGTATCGCAGAAGTGGTTATTTCCCACAGGCCTGTCCAGTGTGGCACTGTTTGGCGTGCACGGGAGGTCTGGAGCATCTTTTTCGCTTGGACTCTGGAGCTCTGAAGTGGCGACGGAAACGCCGAAACGCCTTCCAAACGGCTTTCCAAAAAGAAACATCCCTGCAGGTTTGGGGATTGGTGGCTTCGATTTGGATTTGAACCCCGGGAGTACATGGGAAACCTCTCCATTTCACCACCGAAACGGCCGATACGCCCAGGATGGGACGATGGCGAGACCTACGTTCCACGTGAGGCGCTAGCCTTCGGCCGGCGCGTGCCTTCTGGTGGCTTCCGTGAGCTTCAAAACCAAAGCGGTATGACGGATGAACAGTTGCACGTCGTGAATGACACCCTCTAAATCCCTTTTTGGTGGGTCTCCCACTTAATAAGCGATAGGAAACACCAAGAAAGAACGGGCTGGGCTCTGAGTGCCTTTTTTTTCTTCTCTTCTTTGAGGCGATTTCAGCCCCTTTGGGGGGGCGGTTGAATCCCCGCCCCAAAAGCACGCCTTGCACAGGAGATGGGCATTCCGGGAACCTTGCCGCCTGGCAGGATCTAACCTTGGCGGATTGCCCAACCGGCTTTGGCGCCAATATGGCTACGGCCGCGTTGTTTTAGGGGACCCCGTCCTTTTGCCCCGAATGGTTGGTTTTCCTTTGGGTGTCTCCTAAAAAATCCACACCCAAACCAGCCTCAAAAGCAGACAGGCCCAGGTGCACAGGTCATTCCACACATGCATGCCAAGCACACGCTCGTAGATGCGCATTGGTTTGGTTTGTGCGCTGCCCTTTCTTTTGGCGCCATCGCGTCTGGACCGAGGAGAGAGGACTTCCGGCATCCGCGGCCTGGCATAAAAAGGGAAGTTCAGGGGGCGCAGGGTTCGCCGAGTTTTTGGTGCCAGGGATAGCTTCGGTTGCCATGTAAGGCCCAGGACTGCGGAGCTTTGTGCCAGGAAGGATGGAAATCCAGCTCCAGTTGAGACGGATATGCTGGTTTACTCCTCCAGAACCAACTGGCGAACATTGTCCACGTCGCTTCTATATCGCAGACAGGAGCACATGTTCCACACCTTTGCATCTCTTTGGGGTTTGTGGGATTTGGGTCTGCACTCTCCCGTGGCTTTGGGGGCTTTGGGCGACCCCGGCTTGAGACATAAATCTACATGGCACATGGTCCACAAAGAGGTCCTCAATTGAGATGCATACTGAATTGGAGCCAATTGAAGCCACGTGCAAGCTCGACAGCACGGTGACATGCTGTTGGGGACCCAAGGCGACATCAAACTTCAGGGGACCCAGAAAAAGTGTCAAAGGAGGTCTTTGATCATGCTGATGCTGCGAGTTGGCTTGGATCTTTGACCTTTAAACATTAAGCTTTGTTTGGGCACGAGCTGATGAGACGGGGTTGTCTAGTTTACCACGAAACGAGCGCGGGAGGAGTCCATTACCCAGTGAACTGTTTGGGAAAATGCGTGTATACGTATTGTATGTTATATATATACATATGTATATATATATATATACACATATATATATATATATAATGTTTGTATATTAGTATTATTGTTATATATGTATATATGTATATTGTATGTTCCACCCTAACCTCAAACGGTTCCACTTTTTGCGCAGGACATGGCAAGTTCTTCCAACGAATGCAGAAGTATTCAGTGCCGAGCCTTTTTCAGATGAAGCTTCGTAGGAACTTTGGTGGATCCGGTTCCTGGTTGTTATTTGTATTGGCTGGTGGTTGGGTTTCCAACATTTCAACCCTCAAGTCTGTGGTGCATTTTGCCAAGGGCTGTTAGGACATTTTCACTTTTTGCCAACGAATTTGGGTTTTCCGTACTAAACCACTAAAAGTTAGTCACTTTTAGCAGGGGAGCAGAAAGCAACCGAGAAATGTTCTTAGTTTGGTTTAGTAGGTGTTTCGGGTTTTAGGGCTTAGTGAGGTTAGGGTTGAGTGGTTGGGTTCCAAGTTCAGCCATAGGTGTCCTTTTTTTGGTAGTAGTGGTAGAGAATTAGATGGCCCTGCTTTACCTGGTGGTTTACTCATCTACAAGGGAAGCTCATCTGTCTCCCCTAAAAGTACACCTATGAGTTCAACCCAAAGGTGAAAATCTTTGGCAGATCAGAAAACGGACGGGGGGCCTTTGAGACATCCGCTTCAGGTCGCGGTCAGAGCCATCGCTGCTCAGCCGCAACGCAAAAAGCGGAGCTTAGAGATCCCAGTGCGTCCAGTTGCCACTACAGGTAACCTTCCCCCAGCAATTGGTGCCCTTGTACCGTTTCTTTTTTGGGGGAGGGCTCCCCTACGAAAATAGACTACAGAAGAAAGGGTACCTTTTTTCTAACCTCTCTACTGGAGGACCTAGCAATCCTTCAGGATCCTTACCTCTAGGTTTGACATGGACGGTTCCCCCTGGTTACCTGCTATAGTGGTAATAACTTGCCAGCCATACATAGTCTGGGGATGGCTTGACGTGTCAAATTTGGCGAGTCGCGCATGACTTGAACTGGCACGAATGGTCGTGAGTCCTTACGTCCAGAAAGGCAGACGTGCTCAGCAGGACCCCCTTGGGTGTATGAAGAAAATGGCCATGGCCTCAAGGGAGCTTTGTTTGGCATTTTCGAAACAGATCCTGGCGCTCAACGAGAAAGCTTGCGGCAGCTGCTCGCACAACTTCGATACTGTGGTGTTTCAGAGAGGTTGTTTGCTTGGCTGTTTCGCCAAAGCCATGATTTTTCGCCGGGCGGGATCTTGAGAGGAACAAAATCGACAGTTTTGATACGGTTTCCCCAAAGAAACAACAAACAACACACAGCAACAAACTGGGCCGTCCAAAGGCAATCCTTAATCCTTCCCTTAGGTTGCGCAAGGAGTCCAAATATTGTACTGTTCTTCTTCTAGGAATCAAGGATTAGGACTTGCCAGCCCTCCATTTTGAACAGTCCAGACAGAAAGTAGCTGGTTTGCCTGTCCAACTCGCCAGAGGCTGGCTTGTCTTGATAAGATGCGCAAAGCGCAAGTTTAGTTTCCAACTTCGGGGTCTTGGTGAAATGGCTAAGCAGTTGCAGTCGGGCACGTCAAGGCAAGCTTGACTCGGCACAGCCAATGAATCGTCTCAAATGATCGCAAGCGACGGCGGCAACAGGCATGTGTTTTTCAGAAGTTGTCATGTGTGTGGCCACTCTATGTATCAAGTTCCTGGTCGACGAAGGCGCGCGATCTTGTGCGAAAAACCAGCCCAGGTACTCCGGTTGGCAGAGGCGGGATGGCCATGTGTGAAGGGCGCCCGAGGGGGCTGACGGCTTGCCGGCTTGCCGGCCTGTGAATCATACCGAAGCTGAGTGCTGCAAGCTGCCCTTTTGAAGGAACCTCGTTTGAGCCTGTTTGATTTGAGGCTGCCTCTTCATGGACGCCGGTCCTTGCCCGGGCTTGGGCTTGTTCTGGAAAACATGAAGACGTGTTGGCCGAGTTCGAATCAACAGGCAACCGGAAGCCGTCCCAAGCACTTGCTGAACGTTGAGGCAAATTCGTGTATTTATTCCCGAGACCTTTCTTCAGGACAGCGAAGAAAAGGCCAAATCCCAAAAAAAGCAGTGCTTATGGGGAAGTGTAGGCAGACCTCCTCACCCTTAGGTAACGCAAGTGGATGCAAACTTGTTGGCATTGGCCAAGTCAAAAGACACTCCAGGGGCAGAGACCTGTCGCTGGCTGAGAGGGCGCACTGGGCAGCGGTTGTTCTAGTAGACTACAGTCCGCAGCATGTACTCAGGACTTACACTTGCGCCTGTGTTGAGCTGGGGTGTTGCGAAGCAGGGAAGCATCCTGCTGATTGGTCGGGGGTTGCTTCATATGGATGGGTCTCACGGCTTTTGTTGATGGCGTTGGCGAAAGACAGTGTTGAGCGGCCTCATTGCTTGACTTTCTTCTCCTGTCTTACGACATCTTGCAGCTGACAAGCATGGCATGGCAATGTGGCAAAAGCAACGCAGCATAAACAGCTAAAGCAACTTAGCAGCTGCTTTGTTTGTTCTAATGATTTGTTGGTTTGTTGCGATAAAATGAGCGGAACATACGATGTTTGACCGGACGATTTGGCTGGGAGTTTCAGCCATTTGTCCTCTCGACCCTCGCCAGGCAGCCCCGCAATCTCGTTGTCACTATAGCAGGTAACCTTCGGGATCCTGCCTCTAGGTGTTACCATGCATTGTTTCCCCTGGTTGCCTATTACGCAGTTGTCCAAAGCGAATCGACCTTTTGAGCTTTTTCGGTTTTTCCCAAGTTGTTCATTTTGAGTCACGGCCCCCATTGGAAGCACTGGGTAAGACCAAGGCCTTTCACAAGAAAAAGCCGTAAGAAGTCCGCTCTCGGAAGGCGTGGTCTTGCTCTCGGATCATGGAACAATGTGCTTCACAGTTGGCAAGTCGTTAGGATTTTTGTTCTGGTGTTCCTCACCGTTGTCAAGTGTTTAGTTTGTTTGTTGTTGTGCTGGTTTTCTTCACTGTTGCTGGACAGTTTTTCGTTTTTTTGGTACTGTTCATTTTTTGCAAACCAACAGTTTGTTGCTAGCCCGTACCAAGGGTCGTAAAGTTTGTGTGAACTATGTGCACGAGGAAAGCAGGCAGAGCCTAAAGCACGGCCGCCTCAGTTTACTTTCGCAGGGTCCTGAGTCCCCAGTGAAGAACGCCCCAGCTGGCAGTTTTTTCCCCCCCCCCCCCCCCCGCCCCCCGCTTGGGCTTCATCGGAGCAGAGGTAATGTTAACCCTGGAGAAATAACCTGCTGGTTGATTGATAGAGCGTCCCCTTTTAGTGGGGATTCAGACCACTTTTGGAGGGAACACCCCCCCTATTCATGGGGCGGGTTGAAACAAATCCTGGGTCAACATTATTAAGCTGACGCAGCTCCCGAGGTACAGCGACCCTTTAGGTCCGAGCGAGCGGCATGACTTGCGCCTCGGGGTTCGCAGCCAGGGTTGCGAAGGCAGGCCTTCGATGAGCATGAACGGTATATCAAATGAGAATCAAATGGCTCCCAAGTGGCTGAAATGAGCAAGGGAAGTGGGATGAGGAAGTGGGTGATCTACCAGGGAAGTGGATGGTCATTTGAGCCACGTGCTCAAAAACCGGGGATTGATGAAGCTTAGTAAGGCACAATCCCAAGCGGAACTAGCTGCGGCCGCCTTCTAAATTCTTTACCTGGTTCTGGGTAGGCCAGTTTAATACCGGGTTTTGATTGTGACTCATTTAGGTTCCCCTGACTTGGGTGGTTTGGATTCGTGGTCTGAGCTTTGAACTTGTGTTTCTTGTAGAGGGTGAATGGGGAGCCCCTCCTTAACCACCAAACCACCAGTTCGGGAAGCTGAAACGAGGAAATAGGAGGTGTGCAAGTGCGAGGCGTTGTTGTTCTGCTTGAGTGAACCCGCTAAACTCAGGGTTTTTAGAAGTGTTGAAACATGCGGGTAAAAGTATACTTTGGTGCATGTTGCTTGGCTGATAGGAATTGAACTTTTTGCAAACTAATGGGTTTTCCGTACTAAACCACTAAAAGTTGGTCACTTTTAGCAGGGGAGTAGAAAGCAACCGAGTATAGCTCGACTGTTTTGATGTGGATGCATCAGGTATAGCGATCCTCGTGGACTTCGGAATCCCCCGCGCCTCGGGCGAAATGCGAAGCAGAGAGCAGCCGAGCAGAAGACATTGTTTGTTGGGTGTGGCTCAAAATTAAACTTGAGGGGTAATTTGGTGTGGCTCAAAATTTGTTGGGTGATTTGTTGTTGAGGGGCAAACCGCAGATTTTTGTACCCATGTTTCCACTTCGCAGAAATTTCCCATTTTGGGCTAGCCGTTTTTTTTGAGCCACTGCCTGTTGGGGTATGTGCTGTTTGGACACGGCGTTGGTTGTGACTCGGCCGTTCAAGTTATGGCTGGAAATCAATTATTCCATGGATTTCCAGTTGTTGGGTCCAAAACCGCGGGCTACCGACTGCCCCATGATCCCCTCCAACCCAGTGAAATCTTGAAAGCCTCGGAGTGCCAGAAGGATGAGGGATTGCCCCAAATGCATCGCAGCTGAAAGAAACTTCCATGTGCTGAAGTTTTTTTGCACCTTAAGGAGCCCTGTCTAAAACTGGCTGAAAGCGTGAATACATTCCTTGCCGCGAACTAGCTTGGAATCACATGCTTCCATTTGCTGCAATGAATATTGCTGTTTTTCCCCTGTTGCTTTTAAAGAGAATAGGACTTCTGCAAATGGAAGTTGGCAGCATTGTGAGCAATTCCAATCCGAGCTTCGCCAGCTTCCGCCCGCCCGCAAATTGGGCTGTGTTCGGGCAAGGTATGGCTCCAGCTTGCCGCAGGACAAGCAGCTTGGCTTCAGAAGCGCAAGCCTGGCATTGGTCCAGGGGTCATCTGGATATCCCCTTCAAAAAGTTGCAGTTTACTAGGTTCCAACCAAGTTGTCTCATTTGGAGTTCCAACAATTGGAAATTGAGGGACCGCTGCATGCGAGGGGGATGGTGCTTGGCGGGGTGTGGTTTTGGTCTTCCCACAACGGCCTCGGCCGATGGCTCATTCTATGAGCCCAGTCACGGACTAATCTGTGGACATGTGTCGCACTGGATGGCACATGCTACACATCCGATAGGGTTGGGGGCTGGACAGCCTCCGCAGAGATTCCCGAGTGATTCAGTAGCAAGCCGGCTTCCCCACTTCAAACGTCCCCAAGCAGAGGGAGGCTATTCGCCCAGGCCATCACGACTTAGCCCTTTCTTTGTTGTTGCTTGGCTTTTGTTTGGAGTTGGGGGTCATTTTTCTGCCGGCGGAGCTGCGAAATGGGCCAAGGCCAAGACCCAGCTTTGGCGCCCGAGCGTGGGAGCCGCAGCGGCCTTGGGAGCCGCAGCGCCTTGACACGCGCGGGGGGGGGGGGGCATGCGCGGGCTGGGGTCGGTCTGTCAGGCCCTCACTTCCTAAGTGCCGTTTCGGACTTTAGTGTGCTTGCCATTTTGGTGGCAAACACCAATGGAATTTGGAAGGTCCGAAATGGCTGATTTGCAATTGCTTTCTTGTGTTGCCTTCTTGTTTCAGGTCAGCTTCACGCATGCGTACCTTGCTTCGAGAAGGGAAACCCGAAGAGCCTTAGGGTTGGGTTCGAAGAACGCGCCCTTGGTTGCTCAGTCTGTTTACCTTGGCGACTTCGCGACTCGGGAGACGGGAACCTCTGTCCGCAAAAGTGCTGGGCGCATGAAGTTGAGTCAGATCTAGCAATATTGCTGAGGAATCCGTGGGTTTGATGCCTCTCCTTCTTAGTTTCCACAATAGATTCTCAAAGTGTCAAACAGGTGGCAGTGTACAAAATCCACACGTTAGCTGGAATTAAAACAGCAGGTCCACAATTCTGGCGTGCTTCTATGGTGGCAAGGCTCAGGCTGCATAGTCGGATGTCCGAGAATGGTTTTGGGCCTCTGGAATCCTTTTTTGCATGTTCAATAATAATGCGGGCGTGGTCAGGGCTGTTAGAGTGATGGATTCTGGAGGGTTTTATGTTAGTACTTGTTTATGAGGTTGGCCTGCAACAACTCCAAACAAGGGTGTGTTCATTATGGAACCAGTTGACGGTACAGACGTGGCGCTGGATGTATACATGTGCGTGCGTACGGATGGAGCCTTACACGCTGATTATCGGACATATGTCAGTGTTTGGATCCTGGTGTCTCTTCACAGTACTTGCAACAAGAAATCAAGGTCGGTGGGGAGGCTGTGGAGGGTAATTTTCACATGGCAGTTGTTCAGCATCCTCTAAATCCCCTTGGTGGGTGGATTCCCACCCCATTAAGAATGGAATTGGGGAGGGGGGTGACCCCTTAAATTCCATTTATGGTTCCAATTGTCCCTTTTATGGGGAAGACTGGATAAATGGAATTGGGGGACCCCCACCCCCCTCCACCTTAAGGTGGGTGGAAGGTGGGTGGGTCACAATTGCCCCTAGGATATATAGATGCAAGGTACAGCAGGCGGCGGGAGAACCTCTTCGAAGAGCAGCTTGGCTAAAATGCGCTGGGCGCTATGTCCTTCGATGCCTTTTTGGCGGTTGGCAAAGAAGGGGAAGAGTTTTCACCGAGTCGCTTGCGACGAGAGGGTTTTCAACTGCGCGCACCAGCAAGTTATTTGGAGCATGACCTCTTGGCAACTCGCCCACTGCAAAATTCAGCATGGGTTTTCATTGGTGGCCATGACACAGACCCCTAGCTCAGCAAAGGAGCATGTTGTCATACTCGCACTGTGCACCTTTCCACTTCACGGCAGGGCATGGCAAGCTCGGGGTGCAGCGCCGATTCTGGGCTCTTCGGCTCTTCCCGTGCCAAGGCAGAGAGCCCGCGAAGCGACGTGCCTTGGCTTCGAGCGAGCGGCATGGTGACCAAACCGGGGCAGAGATAGATTGTTGAGAAGATCTTTGGGTTTTTGTCTCAACATCGGGTATCCCCAACTTGGCGATTGCTATTCCCTCTTAAAAGAACCCCCCCCCCATTTGTGGAACGCAGGGCAGATACGCGTAACGCATGCAGAGGATATAATTATTCAAGGATCGGCTGATTGGCTGGACCAGTGCCGGCCTCGCCCGCCGAAACTTGAGTACTGTAAAGTTGGTTGAAGCCTCGTGAGCGATGCAGCGGGCACTGGGGCCAACCATTTTGGACATCTACGTGGACCTGTACACACCATTATATATATATATATATGTATAATTATGCACATAGCTGCAGAAATGCATAACGATTCATACGCATTTTGTGTGCGCTGTGTTGCCGGAAGCACCCACTTGGAGATGTTGAGAGCGGCTTGTAGACTCATAGGCTTTGGCAAAAGCTGGGCGCTCCAGCCGGGTAGTAACTCTTTCAACGCTGCCATTCTTTCGGTCGACTTTTTTGATTGGAATGCTCCCAGTGCTTCCTTCCGGCGTTTGGCGAGCCACTATTGTAGGTAACCAGGGGCATCCATGATGTAAAACCTAGTCGTAGCGATTCATGGCGAAGGAGTCGTAGCTACTGTGGTGTCGAAATGCCAATCGGAAGCACTGGGACATATGCAGTACAGAGCCCCGAATGCAGAACCTGATCATTGCCACCTGGAGGCCCAACTCCATCGTCCAAAATGTCCGACATATTTTCGCCGTTGGGTTCTCGGCCCTAACTACCCTTCCACCAAATGACATGGAACTGACAGGGGGTCCGGGAAGACCATGTTCCTTTTTAAAGGGGCCATTTCCCTATCAGGTTCTATGCTAATTGGTGGGAGGGCAACCCTTGTGTATTTTTGCCCCTTTTGGGAATCCTTTATTCCCTCTTCCGACCGGCAAAGTGTGACAACTGTTAGGGGCTCAGTTTTGGAAGACTCCCAGCCGAGCTCGAGCTTGGGCCATGCCTCTCAGGTATGGGCTTCCGCCCCCTGAGGGCCTTTCCGTGCCGGGCTTCGAGCAGCTCGGCGTAAAGACTCGGCCTTGGCGTCGCCGACTGACCACGAGGCCTTTTGGTTTGAGATCCTTGGTGCGAGAGATGCAAGGAATGAGAAATGGAATGACCCCAAAGTAAGTGGTTTCCCTTAAGGGAATCTTTGGCTTTCCCACATTCCCTACTGAGCACCAGCAAGGATCCGCGAGAGTTCGCACATGCTTCCTGCTCTCCTGCGCTCCAGTTGTTTTTTTGGTGAACAGGGCAGCTAAGATTATCATCTTCTATTTTAAGCTGTGCGAACCATGAACCAGATAGTATTGTTTCCTCTATTTCACTATAGGCATTCCTTTCAACATCCGTGTCCCGCTGGAACATTTGCTTGGGTAGCTGTTTTAGTAAAGGGTGCTTGGGGCCTCAGTCCGTTTTGCTGTCATAGAATTGGCTGGAATCGGTTCAGTATTGGTGTAGCATTCCTTAGGGGATGCATTTTTTCTGCTACCTCCGGACGGGCAGCCATTTTTCTTCTGCAGGGCAAACACAAACTTGTTCAGTTTTTCCAACCCTTGTTCATGTCCAGCGTTGGGAGAACTGTTTGGGCGAATCTCAACTTGCCCTGCCTGGAGTGGACTCATGTTTGTTTGGCTTTTGTTGAATCTGTAGGGTCCCCGTCACCGCGAAGCACCAAAAACCGGAGCGCTCGAGTGTTTCCCGAGGCCGTACCTTACGGAGAAGTACCTGGATGCCTCAAGGGCGGCTTGGCCCATTTTGGGCCGTGCGAGTGTGAAGGTTGCGCTTTTGAGAGACCCTCTTCCCATCAGATGCCTATATATGGGCATGGGTCCAAATGAAACCAACCAGGGGAAGCACCTTCTTAAACCACCAGGGGACCGCAAATTGTTTGTCCATGTTGCCATTTACCAGGGTTCGATTTTGGGTACCTATTTTTGACCTACACCATATGTTCAGAGCGCATTGACACAGGATTTCTTGCTTGTCGCCGCCGTGACCCCTGACAATTGGCAAGGTGGCAACGGTGCAACGTTTCGTATTTGCGTCTTGCTTCATTCAAAGTCGCCTGGGGGGCTGTTACCCAACCCAATCGTGGCTCGGGATCTTCGTAGCACTGCACATTGGTGCAAAACTCCGATGCCACACCACTACATCCAGCAGGTTCCAGATAATCCATGTTTACATTCTTGCGGCGGTTGTTTGGACCTAATTGGAAGCGGCAGCTGAAACCGAGCATGACGAAAATAATTACTGGTCTAGTTAAATATGGTCTTGTGGCTGTCAAAGACGGCAATTCCAAGACAAAGACGTAGCTCAGCGTCTCTGGCTTTGGAGTTGTCGGTCTTGGCTTGTAGGGTTGCTTCACTTCTCATCAAGTGTGTGGTGAAATCAAGCGTGAGGGGAAGTGGGCGAAGACGGAAATGCAGAGGAAAATGAAACGAACAGGCCCACTTTTTAGCGCCCTTCTAGTTTCAGGGTTTAGGCTGTGGCGGCTTTCAGGCTCAGGTTGCTGCTTCATTTCACACGTCCATTTATGAGCGTCAGCCGGATTTCAGGCGTCAGGAGGGTTCAAGCGTCAGCGGGTGGGAATTTAAGAGCCATGTTGGGTTTCAAGTCTGACTAGGTGCTGCAATTCAAACTGAGGTGTTCCCTTGTCCACAACGTCCTTGTAACTCTGACGGAAATCCAAGCATGGACCAGAGGGTTGCCATGCGCAAGATTGCTATTCATAGGGACCACTGTGTTTGCTGGCTGTGTGAAAGCAATTTGCCGCAAGAATGTCCGGATGATGATGATGGATGTTGCAAATCAGAGATGTGCGTCACACCTCAGATGCGCTCAAGAGCACAAGAGGCCGAAGGGATTTCACCACTTGATAGGTTCACACGGACGCCGCATTCCCAGTGTCGTTGGACTGCTCGACTGATGCATCTCTTGTCTCACTCCTGGGGCCCCGCGGAAGAATTTTCGTCACTTAGGCGGAAGATGAAAATTTCAGTGACCTGGATGGGATTTGGGCGCTGAACTGGGCCCATTCTTGTGTGGTTCTCCTTAGCTCACTTTTAGGGCTCGGCAGGTGTTTGGCGCAAGTTGTTGATTGCGCCTACTGTATCCAGATGTTCCTCGGCGGGCTAAATCCCAACGATCCTTTTGCAAAGTGTTTCCCACATGTGGTTTCCAAATGGGTCAGATGCAACGTGTTGTGCAAGATCTGCCCACATTGCAATGTTGACCCCATATTAGTCAACCCCAGTTTATTCATAGAGGGGTGTCCCCCCCCAAGAAGTGATGATTGCCTCATATTGCCCACTCAACCCAAAAAAACACCCCCTATTAATAAACTGGTTGGTTGACATTAATATGGGGTCAACATTACCTTCCAAATGCGAAAAATTCTTAGTATCACCAGGGCTTTTGTTTGGGAATGCCTCGGCTGCTCCTTCGCCTTCTTGGTCCGAAAATCCCAGGCGCAGGATCTCCATGAGCAACTTCGGCCAGAGAAAGGCGGGGCGGTGCTGGGAGCCGGCTGGCTACTGGGATAGGGCCCAGTGCCGCATATCCGTTTTTCTGGTTTCCCCTCCTGGGGTTTTCTAGAATCATTTTCGGATCCCTTTGAAGGGTTCCCTTGGTTACCCAAGTTGAATACCGGGGAGGCTACCGCAGATTGTGGAGGTTTCCTTTGGTTTCCCCTCAAAGCTTGCTCAGATAGGGTACCCGCACAGAAGCAAAACGCGCGCGCACACACACATTTCTGCCCACAAGTTGCGGACGATCTAGGCCTGCGTTCTCGGCTGGACATGCCCAAGCCTTTCCGCCTGGCTCGCACAGTTTCCGCTCAATCGGCTCAGAAATATGTCAGATGTGGAGATCATGAAGTTAGAACTTGCAACCCCTGGCAAGTTGCATCGGTCCTTTGGATGGGGAGTACTTTGGATGGGGAGTATGTTTCAGGACTACCCAGCTGAACAAAAAGCTGAATAGTTCAACACAACTTGTATCATCGAAGGGGCCGACGGGAGCCAGTGCTTCCACTGGCAGGTATCCCATCGGCTCCCACCGGCTCTTGTTAGCACCTAGAGGTATCGGTAGCTAGCTTGCCTTCCCGCGGGGGATTCCAGGTAACTGGCGGGTGAAAAAAGGGTGCCCCCGAAATCAAAAGAAGCAGAATGAGCAGAGAAAGGCAAAGAACTTGGTGCGATAAGTAGAGAATGAGCGAGTCCGGGTGTTGGGAATGAACCATTTGGGGATTCCCTTAAAGGAAACCATAGGTTGGAACTCAGCCCGAATGGCACCTGGTTCAGGTCAGGCCATCCACACCGCTGCGTGTCCCTCGAATTAGGCACTAACCTCACCATGCGAGCAAGTCGCGGGCATGTGTTGGCCAACCAGGCCTCTGAATCGGGAAAAAATGGCGGGGGGGGGGGGGTTGAACTTCTTGAACTTCGCAGCCTTCTCTTGGCGGTTCCCAGCTGTCGCCTTCGTCCGTTGGTTGTTTTAGTTGGTTTAGCGGTTGGGTGTCCATTTGACCCGCAAGTTAAAAACTTCTAGCAGAAGATCAGAAAAGCGGACAGCCCAGCCCTGATTCTACCCCATAGTTCCTGCCAGGCGCAGGCGCTTCGCTCCACCCAGGCCACCCAAGTCGTCACGGCCAGGACCCTCACCGAAAGCGGCGGCCTTTGAAGCGCCGGAAGCCGCGGCGGCCTGAGCCAACTCCCTTGGTTGGAACAGCCGCGCCAGGCCGCGCTAGGCCTTCAGAGTACAAAATTGGGCCCCAGATCGGCGGCTTCCTGTTGGTGCCCCTTTAATCCCATCCACAAAGACGTGCCGTGATCAAAGCTCTTTGGGCCATGGTGTCTAACATGCCTTTCGTGGGGGCTGATGACAATTGCCCGGTTTTTTACACCGTTTAGAAAGCCCAGCCACACGGCGGCCCCCATATTTAAACCATCCACACAGCGGTTTCCTATGTAAACCATCCACACAGCGGCCCCCTATTGAAACCATCCACCAAGCGGGGGGCCTCTTTTGAGCCCCCCCCCCCGGCGATTTGGACCTAGCTTCAGGTCAGCTCCTTGGCCATGCAGCAGCTGCAGGGCTGCGAGGCCCGGAGAAGCGAGCGCCTGACACGTGACACCCAGGGAGCCCTCCGGTTCCAGAGCCATTTTTCTTGGGGGGGAAGTGTGGAGGGGGGGTATAGACTGCTATGATTAGGCGTTTTACTTGTTTTGAGTGGGTCTTTGTTGCTCGAGTTTCAGAAACCTGGAGGTAGCCATTCCTGAACCCACTCAGGGGATATTCCCAGCAATATGGTTCCTGAAAGACGTTTGGTTTTTGAGTTGTTTTCGCTGGTCGAGTTTCCATTTCGCCCACGAGTTGAAACTTTTAGCAGGGGATCTGAGGACAGTCAGTTGTAGGTAACCCATGAGAAACCTAGAGGTAGCCATTCCTGGGTACCGACCATGGCTTGCGTGGCTTCGAAAGGGTCTTTCTTTGTGAGTTTCAGGGAGGCAAGAACCTGTACCTGGCCTTTGAAAGGGCAGATGTGCATGAACGGGGCCCTCGTTTCATGGGGGAACCTTTGGTTTGAGCCTTGGCGCCCTCAGCTCTCTGAGTTCGGCCCAGAATTCGAATTCATTCGCCAATGAATTGGGCGGGTTCAATGGGTGACATGTGTCGTTTCTTGAGGGCATGCGGGTACCCGTTTTGGGTTGATTTAAAGTGGACGCGCTTGGTATTGTAATACTATAAATCCATCAACTTGAGTTCCACCAAAGGAACAGACCACCGATTTTTGGTCCCCCCCCCACCTGATCGGAAGGCACTCCTCACTCCCGAGTTCCGGTTTGGACCATTGGCTTGCACAAAAGTTTGGACTCACTTCATCCACAAACATTTCCCCCACCCACACCCCCCATTGCCCACCCCCCACCCACCACACCCAACCCCCCCCCTTCCCACACACCCCCCCCCCCCCTCGTTCGGAAGTGAGGGGCGCACCCCCAAACCCCGCCAGCACCAGCTGCGACGCCGGCGCCTGGCCGGCTTGGCCGCTTGGCAGGTCCAGCTGCGCGAGGCCGGGCAGCAGCTGCTTGGCACCCAGCGGGCCCTCCACAGCCTCCAGGCCGCGCTGGGCCACGCGCGGCGGATGCGCGACGCGCAAGCGGTGGCAAGCGGTGGCAAGCGGCAAGCGGGGGGGGTTGTCCACCCGAACCAAAAACCAGCGCCAGAGGTTTATATATGGAATACACGGCCCATGGGAGGTGGGGGAAGCCATCAGAAAGTGTTTTTGGCTTTTTGTTCTGGTTGAGTTACGCCAAGTCTTGTTGGCTCATCCGATTTTTGCAGCTGTGACTGGGAAATGCCATCTTTTTTTCGGCAGTGCGGCCTCCCTGTCGAAAGCAACATTTTGAGGCTGCGTGGTCGCGCGCCAAAGGCCAATGGAAATGGAACTGGTTCGGCGCTGGGCATGGCTCTTGGGTGCAAGTCATGTGCACAAACCGAGTGGAAGTGCTACTGGTTTTGCCGCATCGGTTTCGCGTGCCTTCCGGGTAAAAAGCTTTCGGACAACCTGAAATCATAGCATGTGCGTTTGTTGTGGTATTGGTGGGAAGGTTTTTCTTTAGGTGGGGTTTCCGGGTTCCCTTTGAAACGGTGGCACCCGCAGCAAAAACCACCAAAACCACCCTGGTTGATGGCTGTGGCTATGTATTCGGAGTGTTGTTTTTCGGCTTGGTTTTTTGCGTGTCAGTCGGTCGGCAGGGTTTGGAACAACTCAGGTGTTCTCCCCAAATCCTTTGTTCTTTGGATGATTCCTGCTAGAGGGAGAGCAAAGAAAGTATTTCTTGGATGTGTGCTAAACCTGATCAAGTGTGGATTGGCGGCTTCCTAATTGCAAGACCACATTGCAAGACATAGTTCTAGAATTGGAGTTGAAGAGAGGCCAATAGGTCTTGAAGGCAGGTAGGAAACAAAAGGAAAACCGACACTTGTTCTTCTTCTTTTTTGGGGGGGTATCTCTATTTTCAAGACACCCAAATGGCCGCTAAACAAAGGACACCTTAGCCATTTTGGGGGTTTCAGACACGCCCGAATGGGTTTCGACTTGGACCCTCAACCTGGCCCTAAAGATGGGTTACCCCAAAATGATGGGGTGCATTCCCGTTTTTATGGGCAATTGCCCCAAAATCATGGGGTGAATTCCAACCTTTTTATGGGTTGAGGGTCCAGGTCGCGGAAGTCGCGGAAGTCGAAGAAGTCTTCGCCAAAGGCTTCGCCCCTCCCGGCTCCCCGATCGATCGAGCGATGCCAGGTGACGCCTGGCCAGGCCCGGAACGACTTGGCGCAGCTGGAGGCGGCCGAAATCCGTCGGAACGTGCAAAGCCGGTTCCAGAAAGGGGCTTCGTTGGTTTGAGCGGTTTTTGAACCTCACCTCCCGAGTTTTCGAGGACTTGACACTTTCTGGGTTTGCACCATTTTGGTGGTAACTAGCAAGTTCAGACTCTTTTGGGCTCACCCACTCAGGAAGTGAGATTTAAAAGGCGGTTTAGTGGTTTGTCTAGCGGTTGGTTAGGTTTCTTAGTGGTCGGGCTTCTATTGAACCCATGAAAGAGGGGATATTCTCAGCCATACGGCTCCTGAAAGGCGTTTAGTGTTTTTTTGCGTTGGTTTAGTGGTTGGGTGTCCCTATTCCACCAACAAGTTAAACACTTTTAGGAGGGGATCAGAAAACGGAAAGCCCAGGTAGAACTAGCTTTGGGGGCGGATCGCGAACGGTAGTTGAGCAGGAAACGGATGACCATTTACCCACCATTCGCCAACAGCCAGTGAGGTTGGTTCCATATTCGGGGGTGATATCTGTTGGATGTTGGGGCTGCGCACCTCACCAATACAGTAACATCATTGGCAGCATTCTCCCAAGATGCCATTGCCATCACAAGCGGAGCTTTTACAGGATCACACATAGGGGTGACTTAGGCTTGTCTCAAAACAGCGGGTTCCACGCAAAGTGCTTGGTTTTCCTGGTGGTTTCCTTTGGAACAAAGAGTAGAACTTGTGTCCTGGTTTCACCGGAAACGTGTTCAATCAACACCCTTGGGCAATGACCCAGAATGGTCCAAAATAGCATGTTTTTTTTTGTTTTTTTTCTCAATACCCAGTGGGTCAATTCCCAGGGTGTAATACAAAAAACCCTTAGATGGCCGAGGTTTTGTCCCTGTCAAGGGGCATCACTGGCGGGTGTGACGTCAAGCATCATGAAGCTTTCTTTCATGGGGATGCCGTATTTTCGGTTGATGAATCATAATGATTCGCCTAGGTTGTTTGGAAAGATGATCCAAGTGATGAGTTCCAGAACGCCAACCAGCAAGTTGCAGATAGTATTTGCTGCATGGCTTCTAGGAATTGGACATGGGATTGCAGAAATATGTGTTGGGGGCACGTTGGGAACTCGCCGACACTTAGCTGTTGCGAGGAACGTGGCCCTAGAAACATGAGCACATGCCCCGTGAACAAACCTAGGGGGAGGGGAGAACTGAAACAGTGAAAGCCAGAAATGTGTCAAGCGCGGCAAAAGCGTACGTTAGAGCATGTGCCCAGGCAGCGCGGGACATAGGTTAACAATTTCCGCGATTTTTTCTGCGTCCCCTGAGTCCCCTGGCAAAAAAGGCTCTTGGCTGGGTGATGCACAGAACTTGGGGCTTGGGGTGGGTTGTGGGGTGGGGGTTGGGCAGGTTTGGGGTATCCGGTGGGTTTTGGGGGAGTTTGGGATGGGTGGGTGGGTTTGGGGTGTAGGCACACCTGGAAAAGCTCCAGTGCCAGTCCATCGACTCCGCCCGGGCCCATACGAACTCGACGCGAGAACCGCGAGAATCCGCGGGAACCGCGGGGCGATAGGCAGGGAATGAGTTGGAAGGAGCCCCGAGAAAAACCATCCCCCCAGCTTCTTTTTAGTGCCCTCGATTCATTTGTTGGGTGCTATGATCCATTCTGAAAATCAGGTCACTTAGTCCGAAATCAAAGAGGTCACTTAAGGTCGATGCTGAAAATCCCCAAAACCGTTTTTTTTTTTTTTTTGTTGGTTTCCTTTAAGGGACCCCTCCTAGGTTCATACACAACGGCCGGACTCGGTCAACTTCCTGGGTCGCTGGGTATATGCTGAGGTGTCCACAGCCGGGCTCAGCTCGGAGGCGCCGACTCCACTTGCACGGCTGGATTGGTCCGGGGAAATCCTTTTTTTTGTTCCTCAGGATTGGTCCGGGAATCCGTTTCCCGTTTCCCCTAATCCGTTTTTTGTTCCTTTGAAGCGCTCCAAGGCCCTTTTTTAACAGGCAGGAGTCGTCTTTGCCCTTTGCGGGATGCACCTGGATAAAGCGGAGTAGGGATGAGCTTTATGATGCTGAGGCCCTTCCCCTGCATGCGGATGGCACCAGGCAACAATATGTTGGACGCCACTTCTGCTTTGATAAATGCGTAGTGGGAGAATAGATGTTACTCTATGTTCACTCAAGCCATGCCGGATAAGATAGAGGTTTGCGTCATGTCGCTTTGGAGGATGTGTGGATGTGTGTGTGTGTGTGTGTTGGCCACTCTGCTTGGTGGTTCCCAGCCATCCCCTTAGCTTTTCGCCTTTTTTAGGGTTTAGCGAGGATTTCTATTTGACCCACGAAAAGTTGAACTTCTAGCGGGGGATTTCTGTTGGGCGGCCCAGTCTGGGGGTGTTCCTACATTTCCACCAGCTTTGTTCCAACCGGGCGTGAGGAGAGGGTCACGTCCAGGGGATTTTATTTCAAAGCAACCTGGTGACAGGCCCCAAAATGGCGCTGGCCTGTCTTGCCCAGTGGCAGTAATGTCGCTTTTGGTTTGAAGGGTGGTTCCCTTGGTTTCCTACTATGCCGGTAAATGGATCCACTGGGTTGAATAGAAAGAAAGGTAGCTGGGAGTTGCTCAGAATGGCGGTTTGGTAGAAGGGGAAGCCGCAAGCCAACCAATTTGGGCGACCGAACCCTATTTTGGGAAGCATCCAGTTGTGATCAAAAAATTGCGCACGTGGCTGGGTCCAAGAAAAGGGGTACCCAATGTACCCAACATGGAACCAGGGTACTTGGAACCAAGGACCTTGGAACCTGGTGGGCTCCCATGCCAAAGTCAGCACACCACCGCGTGGCTTTCGGGGGCCGAGGGATGCCTGAGGGTGTTATGTGGTGTTCGTGCTTGAACCGATCGCAACGCTTCCGCGTGGCTGCGCTTGTGTTGAATGTCGATCTGCCCTAGTCAAGCCCCAGCCCTGTTTTAATCATCGAAACTCCAGCCAACATGAGTCCTTGAGGCATCCCAGTCGACATTTCCATGACATGATGTTCTTTAGGCGGATTTGTGATCTCAAGTTGGACACATCCGCAGGACCAAGATGCGGCGCGTAGTTTTCGGAGGAGCGGAGTGATTGGCTGGATGGCTATGGCGGGCACTGGTAGCTGCAGGAAGGAAGGCCTAAAAAACGAGTTTGTGGAGCATTTCAAGACCGCAACAAGTCACGATCGCAAAAGCAAGCTTGCCTTGAAAGTGGTACATTCTGTTTCCATTGGTTTTGGAAGGGTTTGGGAAGGCTTTGCATCACAGATGCAGATGCCTTCTTACGCAGCGCATCAGCGTCTATTTCTGCAGACGTGCTTGTGGGCATGGCGTGGGTGGCAACAGGTGTGAAGAGGAGGGTCACCGATTTGTCCTTTGGCAAGTGGCCGCTTGGAATTGTTGTTCGTGAATTGTTTTCGTGGTTAAGCAGTTATTCTTGACAATCGTTTGCAAGGTGGATTTGGGGCATTGCCTATTTAGCAACTGGAATCCTTCCCAAATGATTCACGGACAGCGCGGCGCGCTGTTAAACAAGGCAAGGTCCAGAACATGTTTTTTTTGTGGAAAGCGAAAGGCAAGCCACTCTGGGGGTCCGATTCCTATGTTGACCCCTATGTGTTGCATTGGACGCTTTTCTCGTAGTGAGTTTTCGTGGGTGGGGCCCCTTTGTCAGTTGACTGGATGGTAACTTCACACCGGACTACACCTCGACTTCTTGTCAACCGGATCCTCGGGGAATGCTCTTGTCTTGCCTCCAGCGCGTTCCGGCAAGTCAAGGTCCGTAGGAATGCTCTTGCGTGTTCTGGAAAATCAAGGTCCAAACTTGCCAACCGGAAGAGGGCCTACTTTGCCCCTCATCCAGCGGCTAGACCCCCCCAGCTAGGTGCCCTTTTACCAACTTTTTTTGGGGGAGGGTTCCCCTACTAAAATAAACTACAGAAAAAATCGGGTACCCTTATTCCATCCTCTCTACTGGAGGACCTAGGCGGGCTCTCTCGCCTCTCCAGGCAACTGACGAAGGCCGTGGAGAAGTTGCAAGGCCAATTGGACCAGACCTTCGAGGATTTGAAGGGCCGCTGAGAGAATGGCGCGAATGCACCGTGCTAGCCACCAAGTCTCTAATAAGTATTGTTTAGAATTAGTTTAGTGTTGGTTTAGTATTTCTTTGAGCTGGCTCACTACGGTGTAGAATTGGTTTAGTATTAGTTCAGTATTCTTTTCAGTTGACTCACTACAGTTTAGAATTGGTTTAGTATTGGTTCTTCTTCTTGGCAGGCTGCCCTGGCCATTTTTTTTCACAATTCCCTACCCTGAAACAAACTGCATTATTGCCTTCCTGGAATTTCCGTGTGCCACCCCCTTGAAAATTTGTCAGGGTGCATCTTCTAGTAAAGGGATTGATAAGGAATTTGGTGGTTTGGGACAGGAAGCGATCCAGAGGTTCTGGACCCTGGCCATTTTTTTTCACAATTCCCTACCCGTAAACAAACTGCATGATTGCCTTCCTGGGGGTTCCGATAATTTTGAGATGTTTTTTTTCCTTTTTCTGTGCACTCCCCTTTTATTAATCGCTATCTAACATTACAAAGTCAGGTGGCTTGGTTAGCGACACATGTGACGCAAAGATCTACCCTCCTGGCAGCACATGTGCGATCCTTTGCGCGCTATCGCACACACGGTCGCAAGTGGGGTGTTTTCTCAAGAAACTCCGCTGATTCCCTGCGCTACGGCTTGAGACTTTTGGGGTTGTCGATGACACCCAGATGGGCATGCATCATGGTAAAGAGCATTCACGGACTGAAGAAGTGAGCCAGCATGAAATGCTGAGTGCATCCTTATCTGAGAAAGGTCATAAAGTCAGCCAGCCTGGATGTTTTTGCCATGATGTTGCCATTTGCGACCACTGAGGTTTTTGCCAAAACTTCCAAAGTGGTTGGTTGTGCAGCATTTCACTGGAAGAGCCCTTGTGAACTCCGGACACGCCTTGGCAAAGACCGACTTGACTGCTGTGGTTTACCGGCAGTCGCAGGGCCGAATGGCGCCTTTGGAATCCCCCGGTTGGTGAGCCGCAGCATTTGTGTTTGCTTTTCGGTCAAGATTGGAGTGGCAACAGCTGTGAGAGTCCCGGGAATTCAGCAACGATGGAAATGCCCAGGTCCGTGCTGAAAGGAACCTGAACTGTCTGACCAACAGACTCTTTAGATCAACCTTCTGCATGACTGCCATGCTTTTTTGGAGAGGTAGCATGTTCATTTTAGGTGAACTTGAGTTGGCCCTTGAACGAGTTGCTTGCTTCTTTCAATGTTGAACCCGAACCTGCTTGCCATTGTCGGAGGGCCTTCTGCCGTTTGTTGCAACACTTCCCCAATGACCAGGGCTCCCAATCATGTTGGAGCTTGGTTCGAATGGGTCAGGGGTCTTCCCGAAAGGCTGGCATGCTTCTGGCTTTTTCAGAAGCCAAAGGTTTCCTGGTGGGCCGCCTGGATTATGGCTTAGAGGCGTTTACCCGGTCCCCAGCGCACATCAAGTTGTGCTGACGCGACCCCAGCTTGGAGGGCCGGACAGCTCGCACCTCTTTACAGAGATTGACTTGAGGGGGGGTATGGCTTGAAGTGTAAAACATGGGTTGTTTGATCTTGATTGCTAGTTTTCGCAATGCCCCTTCCAAGCAAGACCTCGAGCACCTCAGCCTGATTGTTGATCGGGACCCTGCGCGAGGCCGTTCCAAGGGACGGCCGTTGCATGCGTATGAGAATGCCAAAGCATCTGAAAGCTACTGGTCATGTCTCCTTCGCATTCATCCAGAATCCACACCATGGGGCGATTCCACGTGATTCGGTCGGGGATTAGTGTTGAACTCGGATTATGTTTATCAATATGGGGGTGGTCCCCTCCAAAAGTGGTCCGACTCCCCAGTAAAACCTCGGACACCCCCATATGAATAAACATTTTTTTTTTTTTTTAAATGTGGGGTCCACATTAGCTTGTCAGGGGATTGAAGGGGGCTTTTGATTTTGTATGTGAATCTTGCCCTCCTGCCCTCCGGCTGCCTCCACAATTCGCTCGTCCCCGCAAGCTCCGCCAGCACCGCCAGCACTCCGCTCTGTATCCCTTGATTTCTATCCGAACCCATACCCAGGAACGGAGTCCTTTTCGATGGCGGCATTGTGTTAAAGGACAACCTGCGATTTCAAGGGTTCACGGTTCAAACTAGATATACAAACCCAAGTGAAGTGCCATTCACCATTTCTGCGTTCTTGTTAAGCCCAATCGGGAAGGTACAACCTCCACCAACCAAACCACCAATTTGGGATCAGGTGACTGCTGGACGACTGCTGGGGGGTTATATAGTCCCCCCCCCCCCCCCGCCACATGCATCGCAACGCCATTCGCCCCCTGCGTGCATTAAGTGCAGGAAGGCAGACCCACACATGGCTCATGATGGAGAGAAATGTGGCTGGCTCAAAAAACCAGTACCAAAATGGAACCCTGGAAGTGGAAACATGGACGAGCCACAGCCAAACCTCCTTTTGGGAACCCTAACGGCTGTGTGCTTCACATGCTCTTGGTCCAGGTGTTGTTCTTTGGGGCTAGGAGTTGAGAGGGGGGCCATTGGGGAGCCGAGTGTGTCGGAAGAGTTCTCACTCAGCTGGCAGCCTGCATTGTCCATGGGCCGGACGTGGTTGAATGAGTGTACCGGACTGACAAGGGGTTTTTGTTCGTCGCATCGCTCCATATGGCACACGCACCGGGTCCTATCCCTGTGTCCTGGAACCAACGCAGAATCCTTCAGGGATTGGTGGTGTTCCAGGTCCGTACAGCTCGCACGTCAAGTGTACTTGATATACCAGGCATGTTTTTAGCTTTTCCTTCAGCAACCGGCCTTAGCTTCTTGACAATCCATGCTATCCATGCTCAGCTTTTTAGGCTCCCGTTTCACTGGGGGTCTGACTTTTCGGGACAGTGCCGACGACCCGTCACAGGTCGTCGGGCTCAAATCCTTTTGAGTCGGCGCGAGAAAGAAGCAGGGCTGCGCGGCATGGCCGGGTCTGGGGGCGGGGGGTGCTCGGTGGTCTTGTATGTGTGACCGGCGTGCTAGGGCCAAGGCTGGTCTCGCTATCGGGGTTTGTACTTTGCGGCTGTTGTGCCCGAGCTGCTATTGCCAATTCTTGCTCTCAATGTTGTTTTGTTCTGATCGATGACGCTAGGACATCTTCCCGTGCAAGTGGTTTGCACTGTAGAGGGCGGCTTTCGTCTTGATGAAGACGCAGAAGGCCCCATGATGAGCACATCGTTGAAGATGCACATCAAGATTCCGGTTCCGGAGCTGGTGCATGCGTTGGCAAGATGGCAGGGGGCCAGAGAGAGCAATCTCAACTCTCAGGAAAGGCAAGCTGCCCGGGAATGGTCAACTGCCCAGGAAGCTGCCCAGGAATGGCCAACTGCCCAGGAAGCTGCCCAGGAATGGTCTGCCCAGGAATGGCAAGCTGTTACAGGGAACACCAAAGTACAAGACGGTAGCTGGATCACCGACCCAGATGCTCTCATGCAGCGTTCGACGGCCTTGCTGGAGGAGTTGATGATGCAACAAGATGCACGGCCAGCAGCCGAGGAGTTTCCCGATCAGGCTGAGTTGGAGTGCGCGGAGGACAACGTGTTCTGGGCCGAACAACTTGGGAGCCCACAGAGTGTCAGATGTCCAAAGCCAGGCCCTTCGCAACTCAGACGGTGGGCTGAAGACAGCTGGAATGTTGGCTTTTATGAAGCAGAGGGCGGGATGACCTTGATGGAGGAGCTCTCAATTCAAGTTCTAGCACTCCAAGACAGGAACGGCCGGAACGACACGACTGAAGCGCCCATGGCAGACGAAGAAGCGGACGTGTCTGATGTGAACAAGGCCGCGCCAACGCTGCAGAGTTGGCGTCGCCTGAGGCGCAGTGTGGCAACATCGCTGATGCAGCATGGCATAAGGGCTGCGATGCCAGCGTGGCAGAAGACGAGCAAGATGAAGCCCCAGAGATTGTGGGAACCTTTGCCGGGTGTCCAATGCAGTAAAGTGGAGTGCACGGAGAACAACGTGTTCTGGGCAGAACAACTTGGGAGCCCACAGAGTCTCAGATGTCCAAAGCCAAGCCCCTCGCAATTCAGACGGTGGGCTGAAGACAGCTGGAATGTTGGCTGTTATGAAGCAGAGGGCGGGATGACCTTGATGGAGGAGCTCTCAATTCAAGTTCTAGCACTCCAAGACAAGAACGGCCGGAACGACATGACTGAAGCGTCCTTAGCAGAAGAGGAAGCGGACGTGTCTGATGTGAACAAGGTTGAGCCAGCGCTGCAGAGGTGGCGTTGCCTCAGGCGCAGAGTGAATCTGCAAGAATGGCAGATGCGGAGATGGGACCGCACCGGAGGACAGATAATTTGTGCGCAGGGAGCTCATGAGGGTAACGCCCGGCTTGCAAAAGTCCACCTCCTGACATGTCAAACATGAATTGAAGAGAGAGAGAGAGAGAGAGAGAGAGAGAGAGAGAGACACAGAGAGATAGAGAGAGAGAGAGAGAGACACAGAGAGATAGAGAGAGAGGGGCAGAGAGAAAGAGAAAGAGAGAGAGAGTTTTTGCTTGGCAAATATCATCCACTGGTGACAAGTTATTGGTGATATGACACGGAACAAGCCCTGTGAGGACTGCAATGAACTTCGGGGCCAGCACATCGTGAGCAACTGGAGGCTGACTGACGCCGCGCAGTCAGCTGGGATCAGCTGGGAATGTGAACTGACGCCAGGTCCCAACAAGTGAAACTCGCAGATCGCACATTGCAACGAAGCGATCCATGAGAACCTGAACTCGAGTACGCGAATGTGGCCCTTGGCGACAGGGCGTGCTTGCGAGCTGGAACCAAACATGTGCAACATGGTGCTCGAAGGCTTTCACACCCGAAGGATGCAATGAGGGATCCTGTCATCTCCGAGCAGGCCTTGTGCTCGGAAGGCCATCGAAAAGAATCGCCCGGGCTCTTGCGCGCCAAGCGATCTGCCAAGTCGGTGCCTCAACGTGGGACTCCAAAGCCTTGGATGCCTAAAGGTTTTGTACTATCATCTCCTTGCAGAACTCCGATGGGTAGCTTCTTAGCTCCCTCCTTACAAGCAAATTTGGATACCCCCAGCTCCGGAACGGCCTCCTTCCACCAGCTCGTTTAGACGATTTAGATGCAGTTCGACGGCTTGCTGCTATTCATTTTCTACATTCGCCGGCCGGGTGCTGGGCAGCGAACGTGTTGCAGGCTCACAAGAAAAGAGCCTCGTCGCAAGCAAGCAGCTTGATGTTGGATGCTTGGGATGCTGTCAATGGATGGACATCTGGTTTTTTGGGGCGGTTGGACCATTTTAGTGGTAAACAGAAAGTGTGGTTACTTTTCTTGACCCATCCACTCCTTTGGATATGAGTCGAAGACGTATGTGTTTTTTGGATGTTTTTTTTTTGGGGGGGGGTTGCTCGATGTTTTTTGGATCTTCGGGATCCAGGAAGCCGCTTCCAGTGCGCCGCATGCCCCAAACATGGCAGAAGGAGTTTTCTCTCGTAGTCGGTTGGCATCGTTAGTGGTTTTTCAATCATAGATCCGCCACAATGAAGAAGCTTGGGGAAACAACGGAAACCAAAAATAGCCGAAAACTCGTGTCTTAAGAATAGCCTTGTTTCGCAACCTGGGAGAGGCCCCCATATGGAAGTTTCGGATGAAAGGGGCGAACTCATCCCTGAAAGCTGCACAAGCTGCTGGACTTGAACTGGCTGGCGGTTGGAAGGGAGCCAAGGAGCTGGGGGTATTCAAATTTGCTTGTAAACGGGGACCTGCAAGGAGCTTTGTAAGGACATGGTAGCGAAACTTGCGCCATGTCAGTAGTTCTGGCAAACAAGCAGGTCTCCTTTTTTTTTTGGGCAAGGACATGAGAATCTGTGGTTTTCAGGTAGACCTGGAGACAACTCACCCCAACGACTTTGCGGTGCTGGTAGAGGTGGCTCGCGATGATCGGACCGATCGCTCTGCGGAGTCTGCCCTGCTCTTCTTTTCCCATGTCCAAATTCAAGTACTCTCCAAAAAGCAATTGTTGGGAGGGGGGGGGAGGTGCTGGATGGCATACCTTTTTGCTGCCAAGGTCACTGGAAAGCCGGAACACCACTTGCGAACTTCGCAAAGATACGAGCTCACACAGGTCATTTTGTCATTGGGGGTTCCTTGATAGTAAATGCACGCTTTGAGAACACTGGCGATGGAACAGAACTGTAGCTCCTTTGCACTGATTGATGTTGTGCTTGGCTTTCCCATGGAGCAATCCAAGAACGGCATCCCTATTAATTTCCAGGCACGATTCAGGATCATGTCGGCCGGGGTACCCTGTTTTGCATTTTGGCTTGCAAAGTTTCCTCCTGTTGATGGTGGTCAAACACAGCGGAAGCTAATACTCCTAAAGCAATGAGCAGTCAGCGATAAAAAGTAAGTTATCGCGATGAGAGGTGAATAAGCGTAGAACCGTGCCGAAAACACGGTTTCGGGTTCAAAAGCGGACATTTCGAGAACACACGCTGCATTGCAACGGTGCGTTTTGTTTGTGTTCTGATAGCAGTTGCCCCAAAACGTACGTAGCCGCACACAACCTCCGAAAAGAAGCTCGTTTTGAGTTCTCCACTTGTCATTATGTTCACGGGGTCCGGTCCGAGGACGCGCCGCTGTCACAACGCTACACTCATGTGTTCGAGTGTATTTGTTTGTACCGGGGTCCGGTCTAAGCACGCAGTTAACCACCATAGCAGGGAACCCTCCAGGATCCTTACCTCTAGGTTTCACCATGGACGGTTTCCCCTGTTTGCCTTCTATACTTAAAAGGGCATTGTACCTTACTATGTGGGTAGCAACCATAGTTACTACCCACTTACTATGATAAGTCTCCTTGGGTTATTAACCAGGCTTACTAAACACTTGCTAAGCACCCTGCCCCTTTAAAGCAAGAAGCACCGGTTGCAACTTGAGGATCCCGTAGACCCAGAGGCGAGTTGCGCGCTCGAGTCAGGGGTTGCCGCCTTCTGCGCGGGAGGATCATGTCCGGGAGCCCCAAAACGTCGGCGGGCTTGTCTCGAGAAAGGGGGCCTACATAGGACCGGGGACCCTCAAAACAAACACCCACATTTGGCGCCCGGATCCTTGCTTGAATTTCAGGCATGGTTTGATGTTCCTCAGCCCTGGGCTCTTGATGGGGGGGGGGAATATGTTTTCTCAGCAAAAGCGCCATGTTGCAATCTCAACGGGTGCAAAGTAGCAGTTTGAAGGCAAACCACTCGTGAATTACAACCTTAGGGGGAAATCCAGTGGCCTGTGAAAAAGTGCTATCCTAGATAGCCAAGTTGCTGCTTGTTGCAGTCACTGTTGCTGGTTTTTGGGGAAGTGCATGGAAAAAAGAGCAGCAACTGGCGATCCGGAGACAGGAGCCCAGGGTGGGTCCCCCGGGGTTCAAACCACCTTTGCCTAAGGAGTTTCATGTCCTTTTGGGTCAACCATTCTTTTAATGGGGGGTTGAACCGTAGGGGGTCGCTCCTTTGCTGTCCCCTGTGATGTGAACAAGTCGCGCCGATCGGCGCTGACCGTTTCCCCCTTTTCAGGTTCCAGAGGCAGGTTGCGGCACCCGCAACTCAATGCCAGCATGAACACGTTTGACCGGAAGCACCTTGACTAGGCCGCATGATGATCGGTGATTTCGGCCGTCCGACACACGCGTCCGTTCAGGTCATCAAGGAATTCTTTAAGGTCAATGCGGTGGAGGGCCGCCGAGATGTGGAGGCACGGCTTCCAGTTTGGCAGCCCAAAAAATGGTCACCGTCCCCTGCGTTTGCCTGAGAACCAACCTGAAATACCCTCAAGAAGAAGACAACTCCTTCGCAGTTGTTGGCAAGTCTTTACGTGTTTTGCTTTTTTGGTTCTGTTCCTTTTAAAGGGGCCTGCAAAACTGTCAGTTGTTTGCTACCAGGGTTGTAAAGACCCATGCAAATCAGGTTACCCTCAATTTGTGGTTTGGATTGGTGGCTTCGGTTTGGACTTGAACCCCTGGTTCTTGTAGAAGGTGGATAGGTCGCAGGGCAGGTTTTCAGGGGTCCAAACCAGCACCCCGCAACGACTGCCCTTTCCCTTGTCCAAAATTCCAGTGTCCCAAAGGCAGTTGTTTCGGGGCTGTTTTTTTTTTTTTCCTCCCCGGTTTGAATGCTTTGATCCGTTGTCGGGGCCATTGAAAGTGCGATTTCTGGTGGGGTGATGCTTCCAGGCAAAATATTCTCCTGGTGCTCGAAAGGCGCTTTTTACTTGGCCGTTTCCTTTTCCCCAGTTTGTTGTGGCCGTTGTGACAAGATACGGCCGAATGCAGAAAGACACCTTTTTTCCGGCCGCTTGCCATCGTTTGATATCGCTTGCCTTTCCAGAAAAGGCGGCGCTCAATCAACAACAATCAACAACAACAATCAAAAACAAAAATCAACCAAGAAAAACAATCTAGAAAGCTTGTAAACCAGCGCTTGCCCCAGTGCTTCGCGCATGCCAAGCTTCTGAACCCAGAAACGTTCCCACAGGGCCAGAGAGCCCCAAGGGGCGGCTTCAGGCTCCGAGGGGGCAAAGGGGATTTTTGTTCTGGTTGCTTCGGGGAGCCTATGCGCAAAAACGGGTTTTCCACGGGATTTCTGAGGCGTTTTTTTGGTATTGGGGCGTTTTGCCTTACCTACGGAAGATGACGCGGGCGAGTTCTTCGAGAAATTACGAACCTCTAAAATTATTGCCTTTCCCTCAGAAATTACGGCTGTTCGCTTAAAAATTACGGCCGTTCCCTGGAGAATTGCGGCTGACCTGCAGAACTGTGGCCAACACCATCAAAAGTGTCCCAAACTAGCGGTCAACTGCTGTTTTTTTGCATTTGAGCCATTTGAGCCCTCAGAACCGAAAAGAGTTGCATTTTTACTCCCGACATGGGCTCGTGCGCCAACATGCAGTGACAGACATGCTAATCGTTCTGGTTGGGACGCAGTGACCTAAGCATGTTGTTTGGAGAGGCTTTCAAAGTGTGAAGATCCGACCCCAAAAAACGGAAGCATCGCTGCCTTGAACCAATACGGGCGTGCCTTGGAAAATTACAGCCGCGGGGAGAAATTACGGCCGAATCTGGAAAAGCCAGGTTTTTCTGGAACACCGAGAAAAGCAGCTTTTTTGGTTCCAGGGCTGTGGATGGACAAAATGCTGCGACAGATTGAAACCATTGTTTGTTGGCATTTACAGGGGAATCGAATCATTCCAGGGCTTCTTCGGAGGGAAATAGATTTCGTCCATCCACAACCCTGGTTCCGGCCGCTGGGGGCAGGTTGTGAAAGTTGTCCTCGGCTGGAAGGTCGCGCAGTTCCAACAGACGCGCGGGCCCAGTGCCAGCCAATAGGATGTGTCTTTTGTTAGCAGAGCCCATAGCAGAGCCCCCCCCTCACAAAAAAGACATGGGTGGTTGTTCTTTGGGTTTATAGTGGGTAGCTGGTGTATCCCAGTCCAGTTGGGCTTCATCCCTGGTCCTTACGGAAGGTAGAGGATGTGCCTCCCACAGCCACGAGAACAAAGATCCCACAAACCACACTTTTCGACCTTAGGTTGTAGGTCCCTTCTTAGGGAAGGCTCATTGATCCTGCTTCACCAACTAATGGGTTTTCCATTAAACCACTAAAAGCTAAACTTTTAGCAGGGGAGCAGAAAGTAACCAAGAACTGACGCCCTTCTTCCAACCGCGGATTCGGTTGGCTCTGTTGGCACGGTGTCCATGCTGAGGGCCAAAGAGCTGAAAAAGCTGCGCGACCAGCGGAGAAAGCAGAGGCTGGGCCACTGGGGGTGAGGCTCAAGGTGTTGAAGGACCAGGCGGTTGGTAGCCTCACTCCCTGACCCCCTGGACTTGTTTATGCCAAAATGGCTGTAGCTCAAAAAACTGTACCCAAAACGGCCCCTAGGTAAGTGGAGGTAAATGGAAGCAAAGACCATCACCTGCGTAACCCTAGCTCTTAAATTTTGAGCCACACCCAAATGGAAAGACCATTTTAGTACAAACAGCCCAGACCTTTCCGGCCAATCCACTTCAGGCCATTGAGCCTTGTGGCTTCCTGCTATGCTGTTCAGTTCCAAACGCAATGTGCTTTGCTTTGGCTATATCGAGTTTTCGGGCAGTCGGACAAGGCGAGTGCCTGAGCCAGGCT